TATATAAAGCAAGGCCCAAATTTCGGTCTTGGAAATTCTGAATCTCTCCTTATGAAGTTAGTGGAGTGAGGACTTTCCCAAACTCGATTTCTCATCATTTCTTAGTTTTACCATGAAGTGCCACTGTAATAGACATATAAATATTTATTATGACAACAGTAATTTAGCATTAAATTCAAGAAATATGGAGAAAACTAAAGGTTTAAGTTAAAAGCATACCTAAACATATCTTGATAAGGAACTTCATAAACTTGCAGAAGTATCCCACTAATGCAGTGTCGTTTACAGCTTCTCTTCATACAGTCTATTGAGTTGTGCCTTTCCCATTTGATTCTAACTTATGCAAATCAACGTTCATGAGTACATTTTACTTCAAATCACACCTATCGTAGTATACAACTCAAGTCCTAAATTTGAATTCATACTGCATTAAAATTCCCTTGCCTTCTTCTGATGTGCTTAAGAAGGTTGATAATACTACTCAACTACATTTTTGGACCCTTAGGATAACTCGTACTATTTAAAAATAAAACTGAGAACTGAAATTCTACTAACCATAAGAATTGACTGTAAAAGTGACTCATCCAATTTGGTGGTCACTATTTTTTTAAAAAAAATGAGGTTTGGATGGAAAATTGAAAAAGCAAAAGACTATTAATAATGACAGGAGGTGGGTGTATGGACAGGTGTAGTAGATTGTGTGCAGATATGTGAAATTGCTGTAATTTTAAAGAACCACATCCCCATTTTTTTTGTTACCTTCTTAACAAATGGTGGTTTTATGATTCGGAAAAAGATGTGCTGAATATTGAGACAAGACTATCAGAATCTTTTTCTTTTGAAAGGGTGGGAAGAGTTCAACTTAAAATGTTAGGACTCAAAATTAAGAATAAGTATTATTTATTTTAATCTGAATTTTACTCCAGTGAAGGAGATGAAACATTTTCACAAGCATTTATAATGACCATGACCAGAAAGTCCTGGGCATTGTGATTTCTTACCTGTTTCTGCAGCAGCTTGTTAACCGGTTTCCCTGTTTCCAATATTGATTCTCTAGTCTGCCAACAAATTTACCTTCTAAAACACAAATCTGATCATGGCCTTCTTCTGTTAAAACACATTTAGTGAATTCCCATTGCCTTTAGAACAAAATTCAAACCTTTAGCATGACATAAAAGGGTCTTTATCATCTGACATATGCCCTTCTGTTCAGCCTTATCTGCCCCCATGCTTCCTTGCTCCAATATAATTTTTTTTTTTGAGATAGAGTACAGTGGTATGATCTCGGCTCACTGCAACCTCTGCCTTCTGGGTTCAAGCAAGTCTTGTGCCTTAGCCTCCCAAATAGCTGAGACTATTGTCGTTCACCACCACACAGGAATAATTTTTGTATTTTTGGTAGAGACTGGGTTTCACTATGTTGCCCAGGCTGGTTTCAAACTTCTGACCTCAGGTGATCTGCCTGCCTTTGCCCCCCAAAGTGCTGGGATTATAGGTGTGAGCCACTGTGCTGGCCCAATGTAACGTCTTCGTCATGCTGAACCAGTTTTACTTCCCTAAACTCACCTCGCTTTGTCATCACACTTTCATAACTCTGAGGATACTGCATCTCTTTCTTGGACTGACTTCCTCATTTCTTCATGTGGGAAACTCTTATTCATCCGTTACTCAGCCACCATCTCCTTTCTTGATTTGTACCCACTCCTCCAGTTTGGTGTTAAGCCAATATGTCTGTTGCATATTCTGATGCATACCCCATTGCATTCTTCGTCTTACTCTAAATCTTACTTCATCACTGCTCTATAATGCAATTGTCTGTCTTTCTCTAGACTGAGACCTTCTAGAGGGAAGGTCTGTGTCTTCTTTATCTTTTTCTCTCAGCACTTCCTATAATGCCTAGCACATGGTAGGCATTCTGTAAATGCATGCTAAAACAATCAATGCATAAATAGTCCAGAAAAGTTCAACATGAACTAACTTTAAAATGAGATTAATCATGACAATTGTTAGTTCAATTTTTTTTAATTAAAAAATTCCTGGCCGGGCGCCGTGGCTCACGCCTATAATCCCAGCACTTTGGGAGGCCGAGGCGGGTGGATCACGAGGTCAAGAGATCGAGACCATCCTGGTCAACAAGGTGAAAACCCATCTCTACTAAAAATACAAAAATTAGCTGGGCATGGTGGTACGCGCCTGTAGTCCCAGCTACTTGGGAGGCTGAGGCAGGAGAATTGCTTGAACCCAGGAAGTGGAGGTGGCGGTGAGCCGAGATCGTGCCATTGCACTCCAGTCTGGGTAACAACAGTGAAACTCCGTCTCAAAAAAAAAAAAAAATTCTTTACTGTTAAATCAAGCCTATTTTAAGCTTTCTAAGATGACATACAGAGACACACACATAGCACACTGTTGTAGCAGAAAAGAAATTATTTAAAAGGATTATTTAGAGTAAAATCAAATCTCTATTTTAACAAATATCTGAAATAAATTTTATCTTTATGATTATTTGTTGCTATAAATTTATTCATACCAGGAAAATTGTCATATTTAAAATTCTCTAAATAATTTTGGCACAGGTGAAATCTTCTAATTTTGTTAAGTCCCTAAGCTCTTTTTATTTTTCTTTTCTTTTTTAAGACAGGGTCTCTGTCACCCAGGCTTGAGTGCCATGGCATGATCACTGCTCACTGAGACCTCAACCTGCTGAGCTCAAGTGATCCTCTTACCTCAGCCTCCTGAGTAGCTGGGACTACAGGCATGCATCACCATGCCCAGTTAATTTTTTACAATTATTTTTTGTAGAGATAGGGTCTCCCTATGTTGCCCCGGCTGGTCTAGAACTCCTGGGGTCAAGCAGTCCTCCTGTCTCAGCCTCCCAAAGTGCTGATATTGCAAGGGTGAGCCACTGCGTCCAGCCCCTGAGATCTTTCCACAGGCTGATTGTTTTGTGTCAGCCTCTTCTCCAGCTGCCTCAGCCTGTTCTCTTCAAAATGCCTTGCTACCTGCCCTGGCTTCACAGCTACTTTTATTATACTTCCGCCTCACATTAACTCTAGATGAACATTTAATGCTCTAACCTTTCTAGCCAATTGTGCTCTGCAGAAACCAGGCAGCTTCTCTGACATGAAGACTTAGAGTCCTTGCTCCAAAGAGGGCCCAGTGTTTTAAAGCCTCCAAAGCTTTAGGTCTCAGATGCTTATCTAAACACTAGATGGCAAAAAGGTCAATGTCCGTGTCAGGCTTATTGGCAAACAAGTAGTGCTTGCACAGCATCCAGTTCAAGGTGCCAGCTCCGAAAATGCACACTGAGAGCACATGGACCCTTTGGCAGGTGGGTAAGGAGTGCCTCGCCTCAAAGTAATGCCATTGATAAACCTAGAAACTGCATGCATATCAGACAAGTTGTACTTATGGCTTCAGGAGAATGAGCTGGGGACTTCAGGAATCCTTGCAACAGTGGCCCAGAGGTACTTGTTGTATGTGTCTTGGGCCCACTCCATAAACTTTTAAATGTTTTCATCCTCTAGCATATACACCACGTCCTCCCTACTGACCAGAAAATAGGCACTGCCTGAAAAAAGAGATGTTTTGAGTGAAGGACATATCTTCACAGTCCCCATGTTTGTCAGCTTTCCATTAATAACTGCATACCCCCTTTTCTACCTTTCTTCCTTACTGACTAGCATCCTCTCAGTTTCCAGGTTGTTTCCACCCATTAATAACGTGAGCTTCCTGACAATTTCCAGGTTGGTTTGAATAGCAAAATCCATACCACAAAGATTTATCAAGTACCCCAATCTGTACTCATTGTGTAGAGGTCCTTCATGCAATTGAGGTCAGCCTGACTCAACTCCACTGGGATGCAAAAACCACACCCTTGGCCCCTAAAGGCTCTGTCAGGCAGAAGCAGTACAGTAGGGCACCTTCTTACACCTCCAGGGCCAGACTCTCACTCCAGCACTTTCTCTCCATGCAGAGTAAAGCACAGGTACCCTTGTCTGTTACACCTCTCCTCTTCCCATCTTCCAGGGTGTGCAGGAGCCTGCAGATCCGAGCTGGATGTTTAAAAAGCCCCAGGGAACATATTATTGTTGGATACCTGGTACCTTTAAGATACCTGACAGCATAAGTGGCACTTGTAATGGGTGCAGGGTGTCACCTGGAATCAGAGCACTAAATGATCCAGACTTTCCTTAACTCTAAATATGCTGTTTTTCATTTTAGTATACCTTTGCACTTCTGATAAATGCAAACTGACAACCTTCAAAGTCATGAAGAAGAGAAAAGCTGTTGCTGCCTGAAGCCTAGAAGACCACTCTTTACAACAACAACAAAAAGTTTCTGATTGCTGTTTGAAATGCTGAGGAATTTGCTGTGGAAGAGACTTTTCTTCTTTTTCTTTCTTTTTGTTTTTTATTTTTGAGACAGAGTCTGACTCTGTCACCCAGGCTGGAGGGCAGTGGTGCAATCTTGGCTCGCTGCAACCTCTGCCTCCTGGGTCCATTAGCCACCCCACTGCTAATGTTTGTGTTTTTAGTAGAGATGAAGGTTTCCACCATATTGGCCAGGCTAGTCTCGAACTCCTGACCTCAGGTGATCCACCTGCCTTAGCTTCCCAAAGTGCTATGATTACAGGCGTTAGTCACCACACCCGCCAGGATAGATTTTATTTTCTAAGTTCCAGAGCATTTGATATGCCTTTGGAGACATTCACACCAATTCCAAACAAGTTAAAAATGTTATAGAAAGTTAGCACATGTAATGAGTTCTAAGTAAATTTAAATGTTCTATAAGTTTCAATATATGTAATATTGTATTCAACAATATAATTAGAAGTAGTTGATTTTTATTCATAGGAAATCATTTTACTGCATCGTTTATTCTAGATTTATCTAGGACAATGTTGGCAAAGGTCATGTTGGTAACTGAAATCTAGAAAAACTCCAAAGCCTGAATTAAAATAATGACATAAGTTTTCTTCTTGCAACTTTTTGATCAAACAGGTTACAAATGCTTCTCTTCCTGCTCTGCCTGCCCTCTGGTGGAGGTGCTAACGAGCAGGCCAGGAGACAAGCAAGAGCCATAAAGGAGAATAGTGAAAAAGATCAAGGTAAGTATAAATGGCAAACCACTCCTAAATAATTGAAGAGCCACTGTTTACCTAGAACAAACCTTTGTTCCTTGTTTTTTCCAATATTAAATGGACACAACAGTATTTACCATAAGACCATCATTCCCAAGCTGTTACCTTTCCATAGGTACTGCTTTCTACCTTTGGTCTTGCAGACCTGGCTAATTCCCACACAAAGAACAAAGAAAACCATTCTCCTACTGTAGCCTCTTCTGTATCTGGAAAAGAACGCAGGTTGGTACAGTATAAAAAGCAGTGGTCTAGGAAGTGAGGGTTCTGTTTCCAGCTCTGGCCCTTGCTAGTGACTTGGATGCTCTTGGGTAAGTCTCTTAACCTTCCTGAGACTGGGTTTCTTCATCTGTACATTAAAAATGATGATATTAACGCATCTATTGTGAGGTTCAAATGAGATAATGGTAGTTAAAGTGCTTTGTAAACAATAAAGCACACTACAGAACTAGGGTAATATTAATACAGTGTTGACAACTCTTCCCTGAATCAACATTTAACTTGACTTGGTTGTCTGTGTACTTTAGAATGAGAAATAATGGTTTATCCTTTTAATCTTTAGCAAATAAATGAAGCCTTTGGTCTCGAATCCACAGAAAAAGCAAATTCTATCTCCTGATGTAATCCAACTCTGTGTGTGGACTCTAGATTTTGCTTTCATTTCTGTTTTAATTATAACATTGAAAGAGTGGAAGGTTTAAAATTACACCTTTCAGAACTACTCATTATTCAGTGACTCTACATTTCAAATATATTGCTCATGTCTTTAAAATAAATGATCAGGTTCTTTTATTGTTACCTTGGCCTAACTATACATTTATTGACATAGTGATGATAATGGTTTTTAGTTTTTGTTTTTAACATTTCCTTGAAGCTATGATAATGTAGAAGATTTAAATATTTAGGCATATTAAATGTTTAAATTACTTATACGTTTTATTCTGTGTGGCTGAGGATAATTGCAAAATACATAGAATTATGTAACTAGAAGAGCTGAGAGTTCTGCACTCCTGTCTTTGCTACAAACACAATCTCTCATCCCTCTTCCCATCCCACTTTCTTAGGATATACTAGAAGAAAAGCAAAAAGAGGTACCTATCTGAAAAAGACAAAACTGTCAAAGATACCTGGTCCAAGTCACCATTACTCTTGGCTAGATATTTATAATAGTCTCCTATCTGTTTTTTCTACTTCAATCTGTTCTTAAAATAGCAACCAATGGGCATGGTGGCTCACACTTGCAATCCCAGTACTTTGGGAGGCTGAGGTGGGAGGATCACTTGAGTTCAGGAGTTTGAGACCAGTCTGGGCAACATAGTGAGACCCTGTCTCTATAAGAAAAAAAAAATTAGCTGAGTATGGTGGTATGTGCCTGAAGTCCCAGCTACTTGGGAGGCTAAGGTGGGAGGATTGTTTGAGCCTGGGAGGTTGAGGCTGCAGTGAGCCAAGATTACCCCACTGCACAACAGAGTAAGACTCTGTCTCAAGAAAACACATCTAAATCTATATCAATACAGATATAGATGTGTCATTCATAGATACAGATAGATAGACAGATAGATGAATAGATTCAGCCAGAATGATAAAATCCATATCTGTGCAAAAATCTCCAAAGGCCTTTACTCCTCTATCCTCTTTTCCTGCCCACCCCTCACTCCTTCAGTCCAGTCATACTGGCCTCCTTGACCACATCAGGGCCACGTCAGCCTCGGAGGCTTGCTGTGAAATGCTCTCAGATATGTGCATGAGTGGCATCTTCAGCTCCTTCAAGTCTATTCATCTCCTCAGTGGTCTTCTCTGTCCCATCTTTTAAAATGGCAGCTCTCGCTCCACCTTTTATTCCTTCCTCTATGGTGCTTATTACTATCCGACACACAATATGTTTACTTATTTCTTTTGTTTATTGTCTGTCTGCCCCTCTAGAATGTAAGCCCATGAGGGCAAGGGGTCTTACCTGTTTTGTTAACTGCTGTATCCTCAGCACCCCAAAGAGTGCCTGGCTTATAACAAGTGTTCGATAAATATTAGCTGAATGAATGAAACAAAGATAAGTCATGGTCTTATTTGATTTGCAACACTGTAAAAATAGTAAAATTTTCATCAACACAAACAAAAGCTATGAAATTTTTGGTATCTTCTGATGATGAGACCTATTATAACATCCAGTGCATTCGTGTCCTTCTCTTCCGTATCCTCCCCCTCCCAAATATTTTGGCCATTCTATGTTTCTAGAATTGAGATCTCATTTAATCCATTATTGTCCTTTTTAGTGTAAGTATAATTGTGTAAACCACTCATAATTTGTCATGAAAGGAGGAAAGAATTGAATAATAAAGAAATATTTGTCCTTTATTTTCTTTGACGCTTTAATATCTTGATCTTAGTTTTGGTCATTCATTTTCTGACTTCTCTTTCTCCCCTACCTCCAAAATACACATATTACCAAAGGATCTTGCTTGGATTTCTTATCTTGTTTTGCATGTTCTCTGTTAGAAATCATATCCACTATTAGGGCTTCCATTGTCAGGAGACAATGGATTATGTCTTAGATTATACTCATATATATAAGCCTAATTTTGACATTTCTTATTGGCCCCAATTTTATGTTTCCCTGGCTGGGCCATCTTTCAAGTTCTCAAACCTTTTATATCTAAACCAACCATGCACAGTGGATCACACCTGTAATCCCAGCACTTTGGGAGGATCATTTGAGCGCAGGAGTTCGAGACCAGTCTGGGCAATATAGGAAGACCCCATCTCTACAAAAAAATTGAAAAATCAGCTGGGCATGGTGGTGCGTGCCTATGGCCTCAGCTGCTCGGGAGGCTAAGGTAGGAGGGTCTCTTGAGCCCAGGAGGTCGAGGCTGCAGTGAGCTGTGATTGTGATCGTGCCATGGCATTCCAGACTGGGAGAGAGACTGAGATCTTGTCTCAAAAACAAAAACAAAACACTGGCTTCTATTCCAGTAATTCGTTTCTGTTAATGACTCTGCCTTCTAAATTTGGACATGTTTTTAAGGCTTGTAATCTTTTATGAGTTTCTTCACATTGTCAAGCCTTGTTGCTTATACTTCTTGAATATCTGCTGATTCATTTACTTCTTTGCTTTCAGTAGATTTCTGACAGGGCCTGAGATTCTGCATTTCTAATATGTTCCTGTGTCAAGCTAATGTTTCTGGTCCCTTGACTAAACTTGGAGTAGCAAGGTCCTGTTCTAAGATAACAATGTCCATCTGAACCTAGTCTTCCACTTTCTATTCCACAACTATATCTAAGAAAGACTCAATTCTTTTTTAAAAACAGAGATCTGATATTGCTCAGTCTTGTTTTTTTGTATGTCACAAAAGATTTGGAAAGTTAGAGACAAGATGAAACATTCAAATCAGCCATAACGGTCAATTCAGAATTAATCATGAGCAGTTTGATGTCTATGCTTTTTTTTTTTTTTTTTTTGAGACAGAGTTTTGCTCTTGTTACCCAGGCTAGAGTGCAATGGCGCGATCTCAGCTCACCACAACCTCCGCCTCCTGGGTTCAGGCAATTCTCCTACCTCAGCCTCCTGAGTAGCTGGGATTACAGGCACGCACCACCATGCCCAGCTAATTTTTTGTATTTTTAGTAGAGACGTGGTTTCACCATGTTGACCAGGATGGTCTCGATCTCTTGACCTTGTGATCCACCCACCTTGGCCTCTCAAAGTGCTGGGATTATAGGCTTGAGCCACCGCACCTGGCCCGATGTCTATGCTTTTAGTCCTTTCTTTATTTGCATGAAAATACACATTCACATTATATCTGTACTTTGAAAACCAAAACGGGATCATTTATCTTTTTTATTATCCAATTCATAAATTTGCTTTCTAAGTTTGTTGACTTCCCCATTTTACAAAGTAAAATCTGCCTTTTCTTTTTTTTCTTTCTTTCTCTTTTAAGAGAGGGTCTCACTGTTTCACCAGGCTGGTGTAGAGTGGTGCAATCATGGTTCACTGCAGCCTCAACCTCTCAGGCTCAAGCAATCCCCCCACCTCAGCCTCCTGAGTAGCTGGGACTACATGTGTGCACCATCACACCCAGCTAATTTTTGTATTTTTTAGAGATGGAGCTTCACCATGTTTCCCAGGCTGTCTTGAACTCCTGAGCTCAAGCCTGCCTCAGCTTCCCAGTGTGCTAGGATTTCAGGCATGAAACACTATGCCTAGCCAGAATTTGACTTTTCTATAGAATAAAAACACCCAATGCTGTTTTTTCTCAACCTTCTTGGCTGCTTGCAGACTTGGTGCAGCCAAACAGATGAATCCTCTGTTGACTTTGATTCATGGGCTGGTGACTCAAAGCAGCAGGGATGATGCAGAATCTGCTCTGGCCAGGGCTACAGCAGCAATAGCAGCTGCATCCGGTTTCCAGTGGCAGCCGACACAGCTGTTCTGAGGCAATGAGCAGAGTCCAGCTCCCAAAGCCATGGGGTCAGTGCTTGGCAGATAGAGTGGTGACTTCATGGATCAGCTCTGCAGAATGCTTTGGGTATGGTTCTTGCCTTGATGGTTCTCTTCCCACCTTCGCTTCTTACATTAGCTTCAAAGTTGACTTAATACACTGGTAAGAAATACTAATGATATTAACAATAACTGACTTTTAGGTAGTGCTTACTGTGCGCCAGGCAAATTTCTAAGTATTTTATGTATATTAACTCATTTAATCTTTTACAAAACTCCAATGAGGTATGGAGTGGTGTTATCCCCCTTTTACAGATAAAACTGAGTTACAGAGAGATTACGTTACTTGTCCAAGATCCCATAACTCTAAATGGTAGCTCTGAAACTCAAACCTAGTCAGTCTGATCAAGTTCTTAAAAGTCTTGACTGATACATGTACTGTTTGGCAACCTAATTTTTTCATGTAACAAAATTCCATGAGCATTTCTATATCATTAAACATTTATTTAAGCATTTAAAGTAGCTGTGTAATGTTCAG